ACTAGAACTCCCAGTCTCCGGGTGATTGGCTCAAAGTCACCCAGCTGGTTTTCATTCCCAAGGCAGGACTAGAACTCCCAGTCTCCTGATGATTGGCTCAAAGTCACCCATCTGGCTTTGATGCCAAAGGCGGGGCTAGAACTCCCAGTCTCCTGGTGATTGGCCCCAAATCCCCCAGCTGGCTTTCATGTCTAAGGCGGGACTAGAATAAGTCTCTGGGTGATTGGTTCAAAGTCACCCACCTGGTTTTCATTCCTAAGGTGGGACTAGAACTCCCAGTCTCCTGGTGATTGGCTCAAAGTCACCCAGCCGGCTTTCATGACTTAAGATGGGATTAGAACTCACCGTCTCCTGGATTCTAACCTGGTGTCTTCACCCCTAGACCAACCTGGTCCTGAGTATATTGACAGATTTGAAAAGAAAGAGAATAAGATTCAAATCAAGCAACTCACTTCGTTGTACCCTTGCTGGAGCCAGGTTCCCGGGAGGTAGAGTGTTTCCTGAGGACCGATTTTCCAGTAGCGACCAAGGTTCTGGCCATTGACAAACACAACTCCCTTTTCCCAGCCCTGGAAAGACACACACAAAAAAAGGATTGCACTATAAATGGATCGAGATATTAGCATTCTGGGACGGACCTAGTGCCTTTACAGGTGACACCACAATAATGAAATCCTCTGAGACTCACGCCCAGTATGCCGTGTTTAAGAAACTACTGCAGTGGTGCTGGAAGCGCTTAGACATATTTTTGTAGTTCCTGCTGCAAAAACTAAGAATAGAAAAGAAAAAAAAAAGAAGAAGACAAATGCATATTCATCATTACAACTTAAGTATTCTGAGCAAAAGCTCACCTTAGACCATCGTCAACACATTGTACCTAACAAAACAGCAGGTCAATCTCAACTGCGTGGAAAGAATACTAACTGAAAATATATAACTGCTCGTCCAATTGTTCCCTTTCTCTTCCAGTGCCTTACCACCACAAACTGAGGCACAACTGAGGCAATTTCATCTAGGAAGCAGGCTCAAAGAGATCCAAACCCAATTGGGCTGATCTACATTTATCCTACACCTGGGCATCTCTTCTTACGGCTCAGGTAAACCTATCAAACGACGTACCTCGAGCTTCAGGAAAGTATCCTGGGGCACGTACTGTACTTGGAGTGTCCCTCGGAAGAAGGCAGGCCCCACCGCGCTGTCAGGGATGGCACTCCAAGGAGATGCTCCTCGTAGACTAGGGGAGAAAGAGAAGACTTTTTCTTCAAAGGGATCAAAAACCATCAGCATGTTGGAGGAGGAGGAGGAGAGGAAGGAGGAGAGGAAGGAGAAGGAGGAGAAAAAGGAGAAGGGAAAGAAGGTGAAGGAAGAGAGGGAGAGAGAGAAGGAGAGGGAGGAGGAGGAGGAGAAGAAGAGGAGAAGGAGGAGGAGGAGGAGGAAGAGGAGGAGGAGGAGGAGGAAGAAGAAGAGAAGAAGAGGAGGAGGAGGAGGAGGAAGAGGAGGAGGAAGAGGAGGAAGAAGAGGAAGAGGAGAAGAAGAGGAGGAGGAGGAGGAAGAAGAGAAGGAGGAAGAGGACGAGGAAGAAGAAGAGAAGAATAAGAGGAGGAGGAGGAAAAGGAGAAGAACAGGAGGAGGAGGAAGAGAAGAAGAGAAGGAGGAGGAGGAGAAGAGGAGGAAGAGGAGGAGGAGGCAGAGGAGGAGGAAGAGGAGGAGGAAGAGAAGAAGAGAAGGAGGAAGAGGAGGAGGAAAGGAAGAAAAGAAAGAAAGAAAGAAAGAAAGAAAGAAAGAAAGAAAGAAAGAAA